GGAGACGTATTTGGAAGCGTGGTGCATCTTTCCATGTTGTAGGGGAAGATTCATTCTCACGTTTGCTCATTTGGTGACTGCTGGTCCTAGTGGAGCCGCTGGAGCGAGGGCCTTAGTTCATCTGAAGGAGATAAAAACTGGCCGACGTCATGGGGCTCGTTGGTAAACGACCGCTGCATGGCTGGCGTGGTGAGGGGTAGAGGAGGAGGAGGTGGTCTGAGACTCTGAGCAGTTGGCTGCAGTTGGCTGCAGTTTCCTGCGAGCTCGAGGAGCGATGGCGACTCTCGTGGCTGTACCGGGGGGCATCGTGCAGCTACGGGGATGGTGGAGGTGCTGGAGGATGCTCCCCTGAGGTGGAAGAGCCTACAGATTCAAGCTTCATTCATTAATGCCCGCACTTGACCGTTTGCACGGCCAGATGCATGCAGCGGTGGGTAATGGTGGGAGCCGAGGTTGTCGGAAGCAATCGAGGAGGAGGAGGAAGGAAGAGGAGGGAGGAGTTCGATCCTCTCAGACTCTCCTGTGAGCTGAAGCGTGGATCGTTGGTGGATGATTGCGGCTTCCGGTGAGGAGTAAAAATCTTACCCTCATTCTTCCTTCTTCTTCTGAATAGGATGGTCGTGCTCGGCGGGGTTGAGGTTGATTCCCCTTTGATTACTTAACCCTCTTCAAGCGGGCCTTGCTTGTGTCTGGCTGATTCTGGGACGTATGCAGAGCTTTACGGGCACGTCCGTCTCTGCTGAGGAGGCAAAAGGAGAAGGGGACTGCGCACGTGCAAACGGCCTTCAATCGGTATTCCTTCAGTCCACGAACTTGGCTTGATTTGGGGAGATGCATGCATAATCCCGGGTCCGTTGTGTGGATGGACGAGCTCTTCATCAAGCTGCTACCATCTGCCCTCGAACACAACGCACCCTGATCATGAACGAATACAGGCCAACTTTTTCGTCCGATTCAGTCCCGACGAAGGTGAGTTTATGTTCGGCTCAGTTGGTAGTAGTAGAACTGAATTCAGTAGGATGTTATGATTCGTCGATTTTTTTTCAATCACTGATTCAATGAATAGAGTAGGATGTCGTTGATTGGTTGGTTCGTCTTTGATAGAAAGGAGAAGTCTACAGAAGCCTGATGAGTTGGCTGCTTCTGATGGGTGACTCTGTGAGTCTTCGCAGGGACATGGTGTCTGCAGCCAATGCTAGTGCGAGTTGGGGTGTAATCTCGGCGGTGCTGGGTCTCTCTACTAGAACGGTATTAATCAGGGTGCTGGGTCTTGAAAAGGGGTTTATGTTATCACGATAGTCGGAAAGGCAGGGGTTTTAATCCATTTGCAACTTGAAGTAGCAGTTACGCAAAAGTTGGGGATAGTTGTAGTGATCCGTGTCACCATTCCGAGTTCATCAAACAGATGGGAAGATGAACCCCTTCTTTTGCAGATATTGTTTAATTTATGAGAAAAAACTTAGGCATCTGAAAAGATAATGAATATATTCTTATCTTTATGTTGTTTATTTGTTAATAGATGCTAATAGTTGAATAAAGTTCAAACTTAAACAGTCTTCAATCAATTAGTTGGTTTCATCAATCTAGGGATAATCAGACTTATACGACTTTGCTAAGGTATTTGAACAATACACTACAGTAATTGAGAATTGATTTCAATTTCAATTAATTGTGGTTTCTAGTGGGCGGAGTCAGGATCTGAGTTTGAAAAATGCACTTCAAGCAAACGGCTTTTGCCTGAAAATGTGGGTTTCGGGTCCCCTAGGGTCAGGTGGGGGAGTGTTATGTTCGGAGGACTGCCGGAAGTCCATTTTCAAACTGTTTCCCTGACTGCAGGTAGTTACCCCTATTATTATTTTATATAAGGGATGCTGGACCCATTTCCCAGCAGGTGCGCCCGCCCAGCTTGTAACTATCTTCTCCATGGGGGCGCGGCGCTAGTTTTTTGCCCCTTCTCTTTTTACTTATATGTGTGTCATCCTTGCGCAGGGGCTATGCTAATCGGGTTTTTCGCCCCTTCTCTCCTTCTGTTTCTGGCTGGGTTTGTAAAGTAGTCACTTCCAAGTTGTCAGGTTTTTCGCCCCTTTTTCGCAAGTTGATGAGATGCCCTTCCTTCCTCTCCATTGTCTCCAATGTCTCCATTTTGTGAGCTAGGTAAGCTAACGAGACCTCCTCCTATTTTGGCTTCTTCAAGGGAAGTCCACCATTTAACGGTCCAGTGTCTGTCATAGTGAGTCATTAGCGACCCCCCTGGTTGCCCGGCGAGGGGGTTGTCAGTCTTAACAGCGGCATCTCTTTTCTCTCTTAAAGGATCAGGATACGGAGCCGGAGGAGAGGGGGAGGAGGGGGGAGGAGAGTTAGCTAATCACAGTTTGTCTGGCGCCCAGGCACCGGGCTGAAGAGGCTTCTCCACTTCCTCCCAGTACGCCTGCTCGGTTAATCCCCTGGGGATCCAGGGCAATCAATGCTGGCAGGATGCAGTTCAATTCACCTCAGACATTCTCTCAGACATTCTTAGGATTCGAAGTTTCTGTATAAGGGTATTAAGGGATCTGGACCTGCTTTCCAGCAGATGATGCTCCCCACCAATGGATGGCGCCTCCCACTAGGATGGTAGTGGTGCCTGCTCTTATCAGCACCACTAACATCCATAAGGAATGTTTCAACGACAACAAAAAGAAAGAAAAGTGTGTCCTTTTGCACCTTTGCAAGTGCACATGAGCTTCGGAATTTGTTATACACGGCACACCGAGTGAAAGCACCAGCCAGCCATCTTCTTCTCAGGCAGTTCACACGACAATGATGACATACTTCCATCTCCTTTTTCTGTTTTTTTTTTTCTTTTGCATCTTCTTGAATTCTTGTTGCTGAGGAAATATGGTGGTGGGAAGAGCCCATGCAAAAAAGCCTTTTCGGTTTTTCACACCCAAACTTTTTCAGTTTGTGTTACATGCCAAGTTGGGCTATGTATTCAGCCAAGGATCCGCAGTGTGATGAAAAGGACTGAATGGACAAGGTACTGTTAGTGAAACATCAACAGACAATGTACATCCCGATACATGAAAAATGATATTTGATAGCAAAGCGGAAGTCTTTGAGATAAGTCATAACCTGACCTGGACTGTTACGACATCCCATCATACATCACACATGTGAGAGGGAGAGGAGGGACCGCATGCATAGACGAAGGTCCCTCCTGCATACACACATGGGGAGATACCACGGATGAGAGATGGAGGGGGAGGGAAGGACGAACATGGAGGCAAGGGAGAAGACTAAGGTCGCAATAGCGGAGTTCAGAATAGTCCCTGGTCGAAGTCCAACCAATGTCTGCCCAAAAATGTCAAACCAGATCCTGGGCCCAATGCCCGTGACAATCCCTGCCTGTAACCTCTGCAAGTAACCACTCTCACTTTCGTAGTCTGCCGAAGCAGTGAAGTCAGACAGTGAGAGGATAGGGAGGGAGATGGTGGACTGAGAAGAGGAAGAAGAAGAACTCTCTCTCTCTCTCTCCGGAACCAGGTACTAACMTGTGATGGTGACGCTGTGCTGCAGGTACCTCGATGACGAGCTGGAGCTATGGCGCCACAGGTAAGTCACCCTGAAGGCGGCGTCCTGCTGCAGGTACCTTGACGACGAAGCTGGAGCTATGGYGCCAYAGGTAAGTATCCCTGGCCTCCGCCAGCCTCCTCTCTCCACTACTGTAGCCTACTGCTACWAGCGCCCAACGCTGAAGACTACTGCTAACGCTACTCTACTATTGCAGCCRMATCCTGAAGACTACTGCCTCCTGCARAAGTGCACATYGAGTGTCTGGGCAGTCTCCTCTCGTCTGTGTCCAACCTGTACGGCGGGCCAGTCTTATAAAGTGCTGGCCCRTCCAGGAGGCTGCTCTTGCCAATGCCTGCACGTGCTAGCCCATGAGGAAGCTTCAGGCCGGRTCACTCCTGCCAATGCYTGGACGTGCTAGCCCCTGAGGAAGCTTCCGGGCASRTCACTCCTGCCCATGCCCGACTGTGCTTGTTTAAGGGCAGGTTGGTCTGACAAGGGCCCGAGAATAGCCYTCAGTTTCAGGCTAAAAAGGCTCAGGCCTTTATTTAGGCTGAAACGATGCAGGGCCTGTGGGCCCCGGATGTTAGGCTTTTGGGTTGAACCGTCATGGGGCCAGTAGGCCCGGAAATAGCCCTCAGT